CGAGGAAAGTGACTTTTTCCTCGTAAGGGCCACGTAAGCTTACTACGACCTTACGAGGAAACGTATTTCTCGTAATTGTACGAGGAACTTACGAGGAAAGCTGGTTTCCTCGTAAACTGGAAGTAAACGCGTAGTAATTTTACGAGGAATAATTTTCCTAGTAAAGTTTCCTAGTAAATGCTTAGTTTTCTTGTAGTGATTGAATAAACTTTTCACCTTAAAAGATCAAAAAATAAATTATTATTTTCAGACCCAAAAGGTATTTAATATTTTTAACAAAACAAAATTATCTATTATTAATCATTTATTTAAATCATGTACTTTAAAACATGTTAATCTATTTTTTTATTCTAAATAACAACCACTTTGTTTTGATAAATTTCAATGGTAAATTTTAAATAATTTATTATTTTATTTTTCTTAAATAATTTACTGGTTAAAAAAAATGTAAAGCAAAACCAAAAACCAAATCTAAAAACTAAAATCCAAAACCAAAAGCTGAAAACACATGTTATATTTTTTTACTTTTTTATTTACAAAATAAACTATTTCAAATTTTCTTTTTTAAATTTGTTGTCATCTTTTCAGTTTTGAATTAGATGTTCGATTATTTGAGATTTGTTTGTTGATAATATTAGTTCGAACTAACCCAACGGGTTTAAAAATTAAAAACCCAAACCAAAAATTGAAAATGAAAAGTAGAAACTTAAAAACTAAAAACCAAAGACCAAAATCTAAAAATAAAAACTGAAACTAAAAACTAATGAAAAATAATCATCACCACAAATTTTGGTGAACTGATTTTATATCAAAATATTCTTTAAACTAAGACAAAACCCAATTATATCAATTTTCAATCATAAAAAATTTCCACGCTTTCAAGCGCGGGTCAAAATCTAGTATATAGTAAAAATCATTCCTACTGTAAATTACAAAAAAAAAACTCTCTCTCTGCCCTCCTGACTCTTTTGACAAAACAAGAATTCAAAAGAAAAGTTTATATTCTCTCCGGTGTCTGGAGGCGCGTCCGAGTGCGTGCCGGCACCGGAGGAGCCTCTCTCCCTCTTTCTTGTCTTTCCTTTGCTATTCATCGGTCTCTCTCTTCCCCTTCGATATGCTCGCAATCCTGGGTTGACGTGTCTCTCTGACTAGTGCTCCGTGCGCAAGGAGCATCTCTCTCCAGCGACCACAAGCTTCATATGGTGCTGTGGTGAGAAGGTCTCAAGGTTTAGGTGAGGAGTGATCGGCTTTTAGGGTTTATGGCAGGGTCAATTTTCTAGATTTGGTTTTCAGATCTCGTCGGATCTATTCATCGTTGAAGGGGGTTTGACGATTTGTTCAATCTAGTAGACAGCGGCGGTGTCGTATGTTGAAAGGTGGTGTCTGTCGGTAGCAGCAGTGGGACTCTTGGTTCTCTCCGATGTTGGCGAGGTTCATCCCTTTCTCTTGTTACCAAGTGAGTTTCAGTGGTTCCTTCCACCGGAAGTGCACCTGGAGCTGAGATACGCAGGCGGAGATGGTATCATGGCTTCATTCTGGTGCGTGCGGTAGTTGCTCGTGACTGTGACAGGCAGTAGTTTATAGCTCCTAGATGGTTACCGGAAGCTCCGCTTCTCTTCCAATCTCTTCCTCACAGCATCATGTTAGGCTCTCCAGGTTGGAAGTGGCCTCTTTCTTATCGGAACAGCCTCTTTGCGTTTAATTGTCAAACCACTTCTTTGACTCCAAAGTTTGATTTACTCGGTCAAGTAAATGGTTTGTCGGTTCTCAACAGTCTAAATTGTAGAGGCGATCCTCGGAAATCATTGATTTTCTTGGGTCAACAGTTTATCTAAGCTCGCATCCCAGTGCCGTTTTAGTTCGTTTGTTCTTTGCGGCAGTGTGGCTTGACTTTCCTTGCAGGTGGTTGAGGCTTCTGAACAGGGTGTGGCGATGGCATCAACCCGGTTTCTTGCTTGGTTCGTGGAGGCAATGGAGGTGGACATCTCTTGGCAAGAGTTTCTTTCACTTTTTCGCTCGTCTAGCACTTCATCAACAGTGACGGATATTAGTTCGAGGAATTCATCGGGAGCTAGCTACTCCAAAGACGACATGGGACTTCCCGGCATCCGAGACAACAAGTACTCGATTCCTTAGGATTTTAAAAACGGCCTAGCGGAATGTGTCAGGCCTAATAGATGCGCGAAGCTAGGTTGTAATACATTGACTTGGGAACTTTTGTTCAAATCGACTTTGTAACATGATCTGATTCGCGTTTAACGGGTTGAATATATTTACTTGTTAAAAATAAAAATAAAAATAAATAAAAAATCTACACCAAATAGAGAGGGATAAACACTATTTCTCCAAAATAAAGTAAAATTATTCATTCACTCTGTTAGAATATCTCCAAGAACAACCTTATATTTGAGGTTTGGTGAATCTTATATTTGAGTTTAAGGGTGTTATTCTCCAAGAGTAAACCTTAAAAAAAAACTTTAAATTTTTTATATTATTACATCATAGTCCTTACTTTAGACAAAAATCAAAGAAAAGCATAAAACTTTTATAACAACTAAAATCTTAAAACAAAATATTTTTTTTTAACATCAACTTCATTTATATTGATCGAGAAGTAATATAATCTTCATGAAGAAGATTAGTAACAATTGTTGGTACATAATCATGATAATGAAAAGAAGCCATATTTGGCAATATAGACTTAGCTAATGTATCCGCTGGTTTATTTGCTGTTCTTCCAACCCATTGGAACTTGAGATCATGAAATCTTGTTGCCCACCATCTTATATCTCGAATCCAGTTAAAAGCCCCAAAGTTAAGTATCCGGCCGTTAATACTATCAATAGCTTTCCTTGAGTCATTTTCAATTATGACTCTTGTATATCCTTTAATCCAGCAATGTTGAATAGCCATTAGGATACCTTGAAGTTCACTCTCGAGTGCTGTACTAACCCTTCTTCCTCGTGCTTGAACCGCCCCTTCATAAACACCTTCTTCATTACGATATATCCACCCAGCCGTAGCTTCTGTTTCATTGTTTCTGAAAGACCCATCTACATTACATTTAATTCTTCCTTGTGGTGGCAACGTCCATTTCTGTGGAGTTCTGTAGCTTCGAGTATGGAATGTAGTAGATATATCATCACCCTTTACCTTTAGATTCTTCCATTCTTATGCATCACCCTTAGCATATCTGATCACTCTCCTCCAATGCATGATTTTCTTTTGAAATAGGAGTTTGTTTCTACTTTTCCAGAGATTCCATAATAGCCATACTGGAAGATTCTGAAAATGTTCAAGTCTTGTTGTGTTGACAAAATCAAAACATATCTTGATCTTTTCTTCTAATGATGCATTAGCGTTATTGAATCGCCACATCTGTTTTGCATATTGACAGTTAAAAAACAGATGATCTTCAGTTTCTTCCTCTAACCAACACCTTTTACAGACTGTATCTTGTGTGACATGTCGTCGTCGAAGATTGTTACCCGTTGGAAGACATCTTGATAATAGTTTCCATAAGAAGTGTTGTACCTTTGTTGGCGTTTTAGTCTTCCAAACTCTTTGCTTTAAAGATATATCACCAACAGTCGGAGGAACAAAAATTTGGTCTGGAAAATGCATCGCTAACCAGTAGCCGGACTTCACCGTGTAGATTCCATCTTCATTATAATGCCACCCAATTAGGTCTTTCTTAGCTGTGGAAGTAATCTTCAATGCTAGAATTCTTTCCACATCTTCTTCTAACACATCAGCTCGTAGTTTCTCTATATTCCAATCACGACCGTTCTCATTCAAGTAACTGTCAACTCGAGTATCAATATCTATCATATCCATTGGAGTAGGTGGTCTTGGCGGATGCAGAGGAAGCCAGGGATCTATCCACATTTTAGTGTAAGAACCATCTCCAGTAACAAATCTCATACCCTTATTAAGAAGCTCTTTGCCGTGTAGGATAGATTTCCAAGCATACTTAAAAAAAAATATTATAAATAATATTTATTAATGAACTATTACATTCTAATAGCAAATTACATATAAATAAAAGAATTAAAAATACGTAATTATTCATTATTATTATTTTCATAATGCTTTCATATATGATCAATTAGTGTATTTCGAAGTGATAAATGAGTTTCTTTATTTTTAGTTTGTAAATTATGAACTAAAAATTATATATTTATTGAAATTTACATGTATGGACTAAAATGATTAATAAGAAAATTATAGACTATTTAAAAGACATACAAGTACAAGGATAAAAAAATGAAACTTCAGATATAAAATTTTGTATAGTGAACCTCAAATATAAAATTTTACTGTACAAAACTTTATAATTTGAGATTTCAAGGTTGCTCTTAGAACATATAAAACCTTATACTTGAGATTTTAAGGTCGTTCTTGGAGATGCTGTTAATAGAAGTAGCATATACGGTGGATGTATGTGTGATGCAAGCGCGTGAGAGTAAAGGCATAAATGCATGTGCTAGTGCATGGACGCATCATTTCGGTTGAAGAATAAGTTTCTAGTGCAAGATAAATTTGATCATTGTCTATTTGTCATCAGACCCTTGTTGGAGTTTAGTATATGTTAAAGTTTTGTGAAGGCACTTTCAAACTCTTTTTAAGACATCACATAAGGAACCCTTATTGATCAAATATCCAAATCACATGTGTTGATCTGAAAATTGGCTTTACTCGCAAGCAGTCTGCAGCCACTGTGACTAACTGATCTTATATCCACCATATGATCAGAATGGTCGAATCTTTCAATTGGGATAGAAGAACAAATATCACTTGATTTCCTTAGCATTTGCAAGAATGTGCAAACAGAGTTTGGATTGAGCTATTTTTGTTCTAATCTCAGCAGAAACTAGTCAGACTAACAAAATCTTTTTTGTGAAATTGGAATTCACCAAGTGTTCTATTTTTTTTTGTCGACATTCACCAAGTGTTCTAATCTCAGCAAATGTTATAACACATCATTGACAAATGCTTCTTTGTGAAATATTAATTTAGTTAAAAAGAAAATTTCAATAGGAAAAAAACAAAACAAAAACCATGGGGTCTTCCTTAATCATCCCAAGCTGAAGCTCATACAATGGTTGGGCCATTAACAGGTTGAGCCTCTTCTTCTTCAAAGAGTTGCACAAGGCTAGTGTCAACGTTCTCCTCAGGCTCCCACGTGGCGTCAGCCATATCAGTCCATTTCACAAGATACTCCGTCTTACCATCATCCCCCATCCTCTTCCCCAACACCTTCTCCGCTACAGCATACTCCAGGCCATCCTCATAGTCCTTCACCACATCTTCCGCCACGTGTACACCTTTGACCCAGTCGCAATCTCCACCGTCCTTCCATTTCACCAGATACTCAACGTCTTTCCCTCTCCCTCGCTTCTCCAAAATCTCCTCCACCTCCGCGTACTCGAACACTTGACCTTCAAGTATACTAATCACCTTCTCCAACCCTATTCTCCGACCAAACTGCATCGGGTTCCCTTTCGGCGTCGTTTTAAGAATCTCTCTCGCAAGCTCTAACGGCGTCAACCCTCTCTCGTCTTCCACCTCCGCATCCGCTCCGAGCTCCACCAACGCCGCCACAGCATCCGGTTGCACGTACCCAGCCGCCATGTGCAGCGCTGTGAGTCCCCCTCTAATGTCACGGTGATCAAGATCGGCTCCAGCTTCGGACAAGAGCCTAACGCACTTGTCGGAGCCTAGCCCCGCAACGAAAAGAAGCGCCGTCCTTCCGTTTTCGTCTACAGCGTTGGCGTCGCGGCGACCTTCAGATGATTCAAGAAGCTCAGCTAAGGCCTTGTCGTCGGCTTTTCTCGCGGCGGTCCACCAGGGAGTCTCGTATTCGGACACGACGTCGGCTGCGATGTAGCTGGATGGGACCCACGAGGGAGAGTGGCCGTCTTTCCACTCGATTAGGTACTCCATTGCGGCGCCGTTTCCTCCTTCCGCCATCCGGCTGCCGATGATTCTGTTGACTTCTCCGTATGATTCGTCGTCTTCTTCCACGAAGGAGGCCGTTTCGTAGTTGTCTCTTTGTATCGCAGCTGGAGATGTTACTCGGAAAGAGAGATGTTTGTTGAGGAGTTGTCTTGTCGGGAAAGATTGAAAGGAGGAGAAAGGATAAGATGATTTGGGTATATGGGGAAGTTTGATGACGCGAGAGAGAGAGTGGTGATGATTAATTACGAGAGAAGATGTATCCATGGCCAGCCAGATGCGCAGAAACCCCAACAAAAGAATCAAAGTGACATTGGTGAATACTCGTCGTAAGTGAAAAAAAGAGAGGGAGAGTTAGCGACGAGGCACACTAGATTTTCTAGTGGATAAGAAATCTTAGCCATTCGTTGAATCAGCCAATGCCCATTTCAAATGGACCCACCAGAAACACAAGGAAAGTCTTCTCTCTTTCTATCGTCTTTAATCTTATACTAGCAGTTACCAACACAAGAAAGAAAAAAAGGTTACATTACAAACAACAACTACTTAAGTTAGAAAACTAACTAAGAAGCTCAAGATTGAAATCTCCAACTTAGGAGGATATACAAATGTTTTAGATAAAACTTATAACGTTTCATGTGCCAAAAGTAGCAAAAGCACACATAACCATTTGACAAACTCAACTTCTTCATATTCTAATAAAAAAAATGCCAAATTTCAAACCATGTTCGCCTCTAAGTGGCTAACTCCTCTCTCTTTGAACTACAGGGCGGTGTGGCTTTGGGGCTAAAACCAAAGAAAACACAAGAGCTTTTAAGATGTTTCATCACATCATAGAAGAGAGTTGCAGGTAAATATGAGAATGGTTACCGTTGGGATTGCCTTGCTCATAGAAACATTTGAAAAGAGAGACAGCTTCGTCTGCCATTATTCCTCCTCTGCACTTGTACCCTTTTCCTCTTTGAGCTTCTTCACTATCAAAGCTAGAGATCACAAACTTCAATTTAACAAGGCTGTAGTGTGATCTTTAGGACCTAGAGATGAATAATCTTACGTCTGAGAACTCCCTAAGTGAAGCGACAATATGGAACCACAACCCCCAAATTTATCATTTCCGCATCCATAATACACTTCCTTTATACCAAGAAACGATAACGCTGATGCACACATTATGCAAGGTTCACATGTTACGTAAAGAACACACTTGGAGAATTTCTCAGCGACTTGTGAAGGTGAGAGACCATCTTTCCGCCATTTTCCAACAAGTTCATCGATTGCTTCCATCTCTGCATGTCTTGTGGCCTTTTCGAACAAAATTATAACAAACGACTTAGTAGTACAGATGAAGTAAGTATCATAAATTACTAGAAGAAACACTATATCATCACATTGTTTTATGTTATGTACATTATTACTCATAGCGGGAAGTAGTGACAGTTTAGAAACATTACATTGCGGGTCTCATTTGTTCGGTTTCTCCCTGAAGCAATGATGTTACCCTCCTCAAGGATGACACATCTGATCCAGACAAACAAAATATGAAACTAACTGATAATGGTGGTGAGAAACACAAATTGGGACGAAGCAAATTTTAAAACTAGATACCCCACTGGAACTTCAAGGGCCTCTAGAGCAAGCTTAGCCTGCAATCCATGGAAAATCAAACATTGTAACTCCAAAAAAAAAAAGCAAAAAAATAATGGAAGCACTACTAGTGTTTACCTGGTGCAGAGCAAAACCCATATACTTATGAGACTCCTCGCAGCGGTCCTCTTTGACTAGTGCCATAACTTTATACCTGGCTTTAACAAGAGAACGTAAACAATGAAACCTGATCATTAAGATTCAGAATACCCTAATAATCGCTGAGTAGAGAATGGTTTCCTTAGCATGTCTATTCTAAATAGAATATCTGAAACCAAACTCAATTTCTATAACGCCCAATGTTCTTAGTTTACTTATGTCTGTGTAAGAAGATGAATATTAGGACTCAACCGAATCAGAGATTAATCTGACTGAAAATAAAACATAGTTTTTTTTTTGAATCAAACAAAAAGTTTATGAGCTATGAACAAAAAAAATCACAGAAAGATAATGGTTTTGACAAAGCAAACAGTACGTGATATAACATAACAAAGAAGACAATGAATTTATAGGAAAAAAAAAGGTTTGATAGTTTTGACCAAAAAAAAAAAAAAAGGTTTGATAGTTTACCTTAAGTCAATGTAGCTATGTAAAGGATACGAAAGCAAGTTCAAAAGTACTTTATGTGAATCTGTCAGACCTAATCAATCCCCACTCTTGAGAAGCTTTCGGCTATTTCCTGGTACATAAACAAAATTGGTCTAAGACTTTAAGAGAGAGAGAGGATTGGTATAAAAAAACTGGAACAAGAGATATGATAGATGATGTCATACCAATCCTTGTGTTTCTCTAAATCACGCTATATCCTCCATGGCAACGCGATAGAAGACGAGATCCTAATAAATCGATGTCAAGAGTCTGGTCTCTGGGGAGGCCTTTTTTTTTTATGAGAGAATAATGCAAATCAAAATCAATTCCAATATTTTATTGTATCCCGGTTTATTCTGGTATGGTACGGTTCAATTACGAAAGAGAGCATTCAAAAGAAAAAATATGTGGGAGGTCAAACGTAAATACTCACTTAGAAATCCCTCGTTCGTTCTCTCTCCGTCGTCTCGCTCTTCTCTCCTCAACGATTATCTGATCCGAAGCAAATCTCAATCCACAAAAAGCTTGATTCTAGGTTCGTTTTCCTTAACTGATCTTCACAGGAACAAAAATTATTAGCTATCTTCCGTCTCGCGCATGTACACGATTAGGGCTCTCGATGCTTGTGAATTTCTGGAAAATCGGAACAGATCTGTGTGATTTATAAGTGAATTAGGTCGAATGTTTCTATGATTTTTCAATTCTCTGTGTTATTATCGAATCATAACGTTTGCTGCATCGTAACCTGTATGTATCTTGATGATCTGTAGATGGATACTAGTGGAGCGCTCAACATCAAGAAGTGGGTAGTGATGTACCCAGTCTATATCAATTCCAAGAAAACTGTAGCTGAGGGGAGGAGAATCAGTTTGAGTAAAGCATGTGAAACCCCTAACTGCATTGAGATTAGTGACTGTTGCAAGCATTTGAAACTCCCTAGCGCCGTCGAGGTTGATTACTTCTTCCCCCAATTTTGGATTTTCAAGAGGAAGAAGAATCCATGTATTATAAATTGATTTGAGATCTTATGGTGTGTGTTTTCTTCTTCTTTTCAGATTGACAAAGCGTACCCTCGTGATTTCATGCAAGTTGGGAGAGTGAGAGTGCAGTTGAAAAAGGAGGATGGCACTTTTGTCAATCCTGCCATTACTTCAAGTAAGACCCCCCACCTCACATCTGCATTCTTTGTATAATATTGTCTTCTTTGTGTGTGTGTGTGTGTTACACTGGGGATCATTTCAGTTTTGTATACCTGACTCGGAAACAGAAGTCTGTTTCATTGACTTACAAACACTAACATGGAATGGAGTCTGTTGATTCTTATCTAAAAAGAAGTTGCTTATTCACTTCTGCTCTTTAATTACAACAGTATTTTGTGGTCTGCATTATTTTATCTCATCATCATAGCACCCTGATTCAAATCATCTTTATATCATCACTAGTTTTAAACCAGTGATCCCTTTCTTTTTGTGCAAATTGTAGCATTTACCTGACTTCTTAGACATGTGTGTATCTTCTATGATATTGTTTACTGGTATATCACATCTGTTAACTTAGGCTAAAATTATTTGTTTCTGTCCTCAATAATTCTCTGTCCAGTTCATTCTTTGATAAGCTCTTGTGTTTTCTCTGATATCATCATATATGGTTACGGCAGACTCAGCCGTTATAGGCAGAAACTAGCGAACTTTTTTGTTTCAAGTATTATTTTGGAAATTTGTAATACTTGTAATGTGTTTGTCATCAGTAATGTTGCATGTGTTTAGCTAGCTAGACCGTAATGCAGATGATATAAAACCATTGTCCAAGTTATTGTTTTTTTCTGCTTGCTTTGATTCTATCATCCATGAAATAGTGATTATTTGATTTCCATTTGGCTTTCCAGTTCTATACATTTTTCTGCCTGTGTATCACTGCTAGGTGTAACTTCGTGCTATATGATGTGCTCATTGTGGTGATATGTTATGGTTGCAGGGAAGCTACTGATGCAGAAAATTGCAGAATTGGTACCGAGACATCCTGAGAGGATGAAGAAGCAGGAATCTCAGAAGGTGAAGAAGCAAGAACCTCAGGCTACAACATCAACCTCTGGAACTTCTTCAAAGTCAGGCAAAGGTGGCAAGAAGAAGAGATAAATAAACAAGCTCTCTCTCACTGTTTTCTCATTCGCATCAGATTATATGGTTTTTAGTTTCATAAACTCACAAAAATGTGTTTGCAGATGTAAAAGATTTTGTTGGTTTTTATCACTGTGCTTTGCCTTTTTGGGATCATCACATCAATAGACAACTACGAATTACAAAACAAAAGAAGAAAAAGAAAAATTAGTATTAGCTTTTTGTGTAATGGCATTTTGCCACATTTCCTCAACTAAAGTCAGAAAACAATGTTTAATTAAACTATTCAAACATACACATGTAAGATCTCTTGCCAAAACGTTTAACTGTGCTAGTGTTGGTATGTTAACAAGCATTTATATCTGAATCGACATCGATCCGATTTGAGCTGAGCAAGGCCAGGTGGCAAACAAAAATTTGTTTGAAAAAATATCTACTGCAAGCGAACTGCTTCTTGGGGACAGGTAGGAAACTGAATTAGTTCAATACCAACCATTAAACAGACCATAGCATCCGAGAGACACACAAAGTAGATAGGTACGTAGCTATAAAAGACAGCAGAAATAATAATTTGAAACATAATATTTTTTGTTTAAAAGAAAAAATAATTTTAATTTTGACAATTATTAGTTTAATCTTAACTTCACCATAAACAGCAGAAATAATAATTTGAAATATTATATTTTTTATTTTCTATAAACTTAATTTACATTTTGACATTACTAGTTTAATCTTAACTTCACCAATTTGCAAGAACTCATATATATTCTTTGTACTTTTGTTTTTTTTTTATTTGTTGAATTTTGTAAGTTTACTTTTATTTAAGTTTCATTAGATCTAAAATTAAATTTATAAAAATAAATTTTATTTATATTATATCATATTTAGTAATTATTTATTATAAATATATCTTGTATTCCTTAATTTTAAATAATGTTTTATTATCATCTAGATAAACAGTTTTTTGAAGATTCTTCAAATTAAACTGGTTGCATCCATATGGATGACAAATGACTGTTATTTCATTGCACTCCCTACAAGGCTGTCCGTCTCTGAATTTTACGTCAGTGGTATATCAATGATCTTTGAGTTGTGTAAGCTTTCTCTTAAGATCTTAATGTCTTCGCCAAGTAGCTTGCACTGGCCATTCTTCAACTTCCAAAACTATCTTCACGAATTGAGAGCAACTCAGTATAAATGTGACCTGAAACTGATGTAAAGTTTTCATATATTCCATTGTCCATATGAGAGCTTCCATTTCCGATTGAAGAGGTAACACACTAGTTCGAGTATTCCTAACCCCCATCAATCCATGAAAATCCTCTAATGTACTATGCCAATCTTACCCTGAACGACTTTTATTATCTTTCCATGATCCATCCGTAAAACAACATTTTCCCGGTATGGTAGGCAGAGGAATAGCCTCCCCCTCCGTATGTACAATAGTCCTTTATGTGATTGAAACATGTGCATCTTTCCAAAGGAAAGATTTCGTCCCTCCCAACTTAATGGTGTCCCTAAGATCAATATCTATATTACTAAATTTTCTATCATCCCTTGCATATATACTATAATATCGATGCAAATTGGTGATACCCCATATTGAGAGAGATTGTTCAGAATAGATGATCTACATTTGAGAAAAGTGTTTGTTGAGGAATAATATCGTGACGCGAAGGACATTAAAAAAATACATGATTTATTGATTCTTCTGATGCTCCACATCTTGCACAACAAGTATCACCATGTATTCCCCTCGTCCGTAAATTCTTCTTAACCAGTATACAACCTGTCAACAATTGCCAAAGAAAATGCTTAATTTTAGGTGGACATCGTATTTTGCAACAAAATGCCTTTAGAAGAATGATAGTCGATCAATATTTTGTAGGAGGTTTATCTCTATTAGGGTAGATTTTTTTCACTTGATAACCAGATTTAACTGTGTATTTCCCATTATTTGTGAAATGTCTTCCATCTCTATCAAGCATATGTGTCTAGATTAAGATATACTTTCCATAATGTTCATATCTTTAGGATCCACCCAGAGCCGGCCCTATAAATGTGAAGACTAGAAGCTAACATTGGAAAAAGGCCGAAATTAAATATAGGAAGTCTTGGGATTGAACCCAGCACCTCCTACTACTGACATTATTCTCAAAGCCACTAGGCTAAAGTTACATTTGGTAATTATATTTGGCCGCTAAAATATTTATTATTTTGGCGGTTGGAAGCCCATGCTTCCTTTGCTTGTGCCCATAGCCGCCACTGGATCCACCAAAGATCAAAAGCCTGTATATTTCATGATCTCATTGATGCATTAATGAACGAGTCCACTGTAAGGTCGGGGTAAAAGTTTTGTTGATTACTGTTTTCTGGTTTCGGGTGGTAGTTGGTAGCCAGAGATCATTCCATACGGAGATAGATGATCCTGATCTCGTCTTTTTGATTAGTCTTTTGCTAACCAGAGATCTAGCAGAATATGATCAATCTGTTCCAGGGGTGATGCATTCCTCAAATACTGTACTTTAAAAATTCTTGAGAACAGAGTATTTAGTTTCTCAATTAAACGCCAAAGTTCCTTCCCAAATACCTTTATTGAAATCGGAGAGATTTGTAACCCCAAGCCTCCTTCATCCTTATGCTTACATAGTTTGTTCCAAGATTTTCAATGCATGGTTTTTGTGCTTCCACCTGTACTCCACCAAAATTGTGCCACTACGTTTGTCAGTTTCTTTATTACCACCTTTGGTAAACGTTAATAAGACATCACATGATTTGATAAAGTTGTAAGCGTTGATTAAAATTAATGTCTTTCTTTTTTTTCTCAGCAATGTCTTTTTAAAAATATTTGAATTCTAAGAAATTTTGAATTGTTATTTTTTATAGTTACAATACATTAAATTGGTAAAGTTCAGTAAGTTAATTAACTTGATGAACTAATAATTTTAAACAAAATTTAAGCATTTAACTATCAACAAAAGTTTTATTTAATTAGTATTGTTTTAGTTTTGTATTTGTTAATGTACTTTTACAATTAATTTTTATTAGATATATATAATATTTGATTTTTAAGTTGATATAAAAATAGTTGTAATTATTTTCTTTATTACTGTGATATATATTTTTAAAATGGATTTATGAGTATTAGTTATTAATTAATTTCAAAAATCTTGTCAAAAATAAATAATTATACAAAAAAATAATTTTAGTAAATCTATAAGAGTTATTACTCATTACCATATTTTAGACAATCTTACCCGAGAATATAATTTTTATAAAGAAATTTTTTATTTACAGAGTGCTATATATGTAGCAATAAATCAAGTTCATTACAAAGGAAAAAAGCACATTGCTACTAAATTTCATTTCATCAGAGAATTAGTATTCGATTGAGATGCAATCCTAAACAAGATCCACATTCCAATCACTCCAGCAGATTTTTTTTACTAAAACCGTACCTGGTCAAAAATTCCAGCTATGTTGTCAGCTTGTGAACCTTCACTAAGATAGGAGCGACCACGCCAGATAACTCCAGAGTGGACAGGTGAAACTCGCAAAACACATAACAACAACTCAACAATATTATGTGTATTTGTTTCTAAGGAAGGCTACTCAAGAGTGTCATGAAAATGGATTACATGGCAACGGGATGAACTTGTGTTAACACTCAACGTGTTCAAAAGGGAACATCTTTCACCTAAGAAGCAAAAAAAAGAGACAAGTAAGCCACTGTTAAGAAGGCTTAATCAAAGGGGAAACTAATTCAAGGTTAGACTCAACTTGTATATTCTTGTCAAAATCAGAGGAAAATTCCCATGCAGAATCTGGTTAAATATGTTGTTACGACTTATTATAATCCTGAGAATGAAGAGTATGAAACAATATTCAACACTTCAAGAAGTATAAAGTCGCTACTACAACTAGCAGAAGTGTGTGTGTTTGTTTAACTTAGAAAAATCGTCATAGAAGTCTGATCAAGTCAGAGGTTTCAGATGAACGGATTCAGATGAAGTAAGGGACGTCGGTTTGGTCTCCACGACTAACGTCGTCAAGGTGGAGTTATCGAACAAAGAACCAAAAGTCATTTATTTTTTTTTGAACTAGGTAAAACAGTAAGAAGAAAATATCAGTTAGTATTCTCGGAAACAAACCGAGAGATTACGAGGAAATAAACCGAGAGATTACGAGAAAGAAAGGTTTCTACCACGACAAAGAAGAGTTAATGTGAGATACCTTAGTAATCACAAGCAAAGGTCTGAGCCAATTCGAGTGAACTGAGTCACCTTGAGCACATAAGTGAAAGACCGAGCTTTAGCAACATCAACCATCATCGATTTGGTGGAGCTCCAGATCCATCAATGGAGGTCCTCAGAAGAGAAATGCATCAAGATCGGTAGACAAATCAATATGTTACCTCTAAAGAACCAAAGCGATTTCGAGAGAAAGAAGTCAAAGAAGGTCAGATTTACCTAGGTTCAGAGGAGTGAACATGTTGTTCAACATAAAGGTTTACGAAAGATAAAATAGTGACTCATCGGAGATGAGAGAAGGAAGACAGAGAGAAAAGATGGTAATTTTCTCTGGTTCATCACAAAAGAGAAGAAAGAGAGAAGTATTAGCATAAATGAAATGTTATAGGTTTGGACTATACAAATAAAATAGGTGTTGACCCGCGTCCGGCGCGGGGTGAGTGATGGAAAGAGATTATTACTATAACATGTAAGATAATATACTATAAATTTATTTGTATTTTTTGTTAGAGCAAAGTTTGTGTATTGGATATGTCCATTGATTGAAGTGTTTATATGAGAAAAAAATTCCGAGTAAGGAAATATTTTTATTAATTTATTAAATAATTTATGAAAAATAAAACATAAAAATATAATAGTTCATTTCATAACCAAAGTATGATGATAATAATAAAATAAATAATTGTAATATATTTTTGTATATGATATATTTTGAATTTTTAAAACTTACGTATATTTATATATTTAAAAAATTACTTATATATTTATAGAATCATTGAATGTTAAGAAAACCTTTATCTAAGAAAGAAAATATACATAGCAGAAATTTTTATATTTTAAAAATAAAAAAAATAAATTAAATGAAAATATCATGTATCCCACCAAAAGACACTGTTTGGAATCTTCAAAAGTTAGTCTTTAGTTAGCTTAACTTATGTAAATAAACATCAAAATAAATTAATCAAGAAACATTAAAATGTTCATGTATACTTCTTTTTGAGAACTTCTATCCTTGGAAGTTCAGGATCAAACGAAATGTGAGAACATCATTCAAATTTCTTCTAATTATATATTTGAAATGACCAACTAAATAACTTATATCACATATATACATATATATATATATGTATGTGCAAGAGCTATACGGTAAAATACCTTCTTCCCACTCAATGGATCATAAACTTAAAACACATAACACAACATGAGCATCCGTGGAGGTTCAAAATCAAGTAAATCCTGAGCGTTAGTTACATAATCGATACACTTGATTCCAGTGAACTTATTTGCAAAGATCAATATAAAACATAATATTAATAAAACTATTTACAAAGACATAATTTCATATGAACATGTTTGTAGAGATAAATATATAAGAATATTAATGCAACTATTTTAAAAAAAAAACTAAAAAGGATATCATAAGAATGAGGACCACAAACTCGAGATAACTTAAAACTTCACTCTTAGGTTTTCGAACAATTGCTTTATGTAAATTAATTATTTTCACATAATTTTTTTTTTGGTATCGCAGTTTTTTTTAGGTTGGTTGTGATTCTGTAGAAATAACTTTAGTTTGATATATATATATATATATATATATATATATATATATATATATATATATATATACATCAAACTTAGGCTTTAGCCACACAAGATTTGAGTTACAAACGAAAATGTTTGACAAATTCAGAAAATATTGATTTACTATAGTATTTAACCATAAACCAAGTATGTTTGACCATAGATCAACAATAAGTACTTGTGCATCACCATTTATGTTTATTCAATACTTAAAAAAAATCATGGAACTTAATTGAAGGGATTCTTTGAAATTTATTACAAATTTTAGAGAATTATAAGGTTAAGTAGTATGAGAAAAAAAAATTCATAGTAAGTTTGTTTAAAACATATATTTCTTTAGTTTGAGAAACAAACAATGTATTAGAAATATTATAGTTTTTTTAATAAAATAGTATTCAGAAATATAATTTATGTTTAGTTTGAGAAAACAAATATTTTTCAGATATCATATAATAATATTGATATCATATCAGAAATAATGCATTGGAAATGTGAAATATCTATTTTTTAGAAATAATTTTTTTTTCTAAAACATGGATTATACTAAAACAGAGAAAGTATGCAACTAACCATATTTGATATATTTAGTAAAAACGCTACTCAAATAATATCTATTATTATTTTGCAATTAAAACTGACTTATATTTTTCTTAGTAACTAACCATATTTGATATTTATGATTATGGTTAATAATTTACCCTAATTTTATATCTTCTGATTGATAATATTTATGTGTAGAATCACTAATTGTTCTTGTCTCTGAATTTAATTGGTAAGAACTAATCAAGAGAGGAAGCAAATTTAATTATAGTTCTTTGGAATATAATCATTTTAAGTGGATAAATTAGTGACATAATATATGTTAATTACCATTTATATCAAGTTTGGCCATTATCATAATGACATGATTTTGATTTTATATGTATTATAGGAAACATAATAATGTATTATAAGAATCATAATGTATAATAGAAATCATAATGACATAATTTATGATAATTACCATTTATATCAAGTTTTACCATTATCATAATGACATGATTGTGATTTCATATGTATTATAGGAAACAATAATCATTTAGATTTTTTTCAATATAAAAATATGTTCCAAAGTGATTTTTTATATGTAGATATATATATATATATATATATAAAACATGATAAAGATAACATATAGTTTGATATACATTTATTTACATGTCAATAATATTTTTACTGGAATTTGCATTATAATAAACATTTGATTAATATCATTTATCAAATACGATAACTACAGAAAATATTTATTCAACATTCAAAATTCTATTATAAAGTTATATATAACCGGTAATTATATAAATCAATGATTAATATTATATTTTAAAATTAAAATACGTCAATTTGAAAATTACGTGATTGACTTACTTAATGTAACTCATAATATTAATTTTGTGTGTAAAGGTTGGTCATGTGGTTTAAATTCTTTTTAATCTCATACTTATTACTTTCCTGATTCTAAAGATTTCCAAATTAATTGTATGAAGGGGGAAATCATACTTTCCGTAATTTAAAGTTGTATAAAGGTTGATATATCTGATTCATTGTATTTTTTCATCAAGACAACATTTATTCACAGGTATTTAGTAATTCAAATTTTTTAAAATAATATAAATATTATAATTTTTATTATATTTTCTATTTATAAATATGTATTTATTCACAATTACTTACTTATATTATAAAGTTACATATTTGACTAATACCATTATCAAATACGATAACAACATTCATTATTATATTTTAATATGTAATATGTAATGTAACTTTATATTCACCATTACTTACTTATATTATAAAGTTACATATTTGACTAATACCATTATCAAATACAATAACAACAAATGGTCTTTCATTCAATATTCGAAATATATTATAAAGTTACATTACATCTCGATCTCTATTGTGCGGGTCATATTAAAATATAATAATGAATGTATATTGTATAAATTTTATAATAATGAAGATAACCCGGGCATAGTGAATGTTTATAAAAAAAATGATGAATGTTTAATAGCATTGTCAAATACGTAATGAAGTAATGTTCGAATATTCATTAATAATAAATATTTAGAGGTATATGATGAATAAAATGAAAGTATATAGATTTGTCTTCAATGGCATGAAATGTAATATCTCTAGTTAAGAAAGGGTTATTCCAAAAAGGCAATGAGGTGAATTGTGGTGATGCCACATAAGTAATGGCATAATGGTTAATAACACATGAACAAAATGTTTAATGTTAAAAGTTCTCCTCAAATAATAAGAAGGGGATTTTGTGAGGTTTAGTCAAAGTCCATCACATTTGTTTAATTTTGGGCCAACTTGCACAAGTTACAAACATATAAAAGTCAATGAAGCCCATTAAAATCAATCAATACATATATTATATGTGCTTTAGGTCACATCTTCTCCACAGTTCTTCTTTAGCTACAAGAGATCAAACATGTACAAAAGAGACTAAGTGTATAGATTAAAGGATAGAGAATATAGTTGAGTTCATATTGTTCTAGATTAAAGGTCTTGATACTAAGTGTATTTTTTGGTGTTTTTTAACCATGGAAGTTCCATAAATAATTGATTTTGGAACTGATCTATTGGAGTGAGAAAAAAATTCATTAGCTTATTATATAAGTAATAAGTTGGTCACGTAGGTTTGAAATCATACTGAAAACGTAACAAATTTTATGTGTGTTTCAGGTGTAAAATTGTGAAAGAGTAATCGGGATTTTTGGGTGATCGTGAAGATGGCATCGGATGATTTCGAGGATGAAGCTGAGGCAACTGTGACGATCAATGAGGTTATCGAAAGCATGGATGCGGAAGAGCTGGTAAATTAATCATCATTCTCTTTTGAAAAGCTTTATATTTCCTGATTCGTTAGGAAGAGAAAGTTTATTATTTTTCGCATTTTTCCTCCAGTGTTAATAACGAAAAAGAAAAAAATATAAACCGGGTTTTTTTTTTATATTTCTTCTAATTACATCAACACTGATTGCTGAATCCTTAAAAATATTAAAACTCGTGTACCTAACCATGAAGAATATTTGACGCCATTATAGTATTTTGAAATGTTATTGTACAGACTCGAGCTTGCTAGTGATTATATGTGTGTTTAACTGTTTCTATGAAATTCAGTAGTCTAAGAGTCTGGGTTTCTCTGTTCATCACTGCTTTTTCAGAATACACTAGTTATTTTGGTATTGATATTAAATGTGGTTTGGTTTTGTGATCCTCGATCTTTGAAGGAAGCTGACTTGGTGTTGGGTGGAGACGAGGGAGATGAGTGTACTTACCCAAAGGGATACATGAAAAGACAGGCTATTTTCTCTTGCCTTACATGTACCCCAGAAGGGAATGCTGGAGTCTGCACTGCCTGTTGCTTAACTTGTCATGATGGTCATGAGGTTGAGATTTTTACATATTATATATATGTGTCTTTATCTGTTTTGTGTTTTCTTAGTCTGTCTGGTTGAATATTTTTTCTGGTTATATAGCTTGTGGAGCTCTGGACTAAGAGAAATTTCCGATGTGATTGTGGGAACTCCAAGTTTGGAACTTTAGCCTGCTGTAAGCTTCTCCCGGGCAAAGATGTAGAGAACCCTGAGAATTCTTACAACCATAACTTCAAAGGCTTGTACTGCTCTTGCAACCAACCTTACCCTAACCCAAATGGTGTGGAACACGGGCCGATGATACAATGTTGTATCTGTGAGGACTGGTTTCACAAGGAGCATCTCGCTCCCAAACCTTCAGACTGTGTTAGTAGCCAAGTTTGTGGTCAAAGCTTACCCTTTCTTTACGCTTGGTGTTTATATTTCAAAAATTGTATGTGATCTTTAATAGATTCCAAGAGATGAGTAAGGAGTGCTGGTTTATGAGGACTTCATTTGTCAAAACTGCTCTCCAGCTTCTTCCATTCTCACACTTTATCCCGAGAACTTGTGGGTGCTGCTAAAGTTAATTCCAATGGTTCAGCCAATATTTGTGCAGACACTACCGAGTTAAACCAAACCCCCACCGCTTCTGAGCCTGTACAGCCTGAGAACAGTACTGAAGCTGAAAAAACTGTTGTAAGAGTATGCTCTAAAAAGCTCGCCAAACCTGAACCCTATCCTCTGTCTGAGTGTGCTATTGCGACAGGTCTAACCTTGTCTCCAGAGTTTGAGAAGAAACCGCTGTTTTTAACCAATAACTGGAGGAACATACTATGCAAATGCGACAAGTGCCTTGAGATGTACAGCGAGAGAAAGGTTAGCTATTTACTTGATGCAGAGGACACGATTGCTGAATACGAGAATAAGGCTAAGGAGAAAAGAACAGAAAAACTGGAGACACAGGAAGGCGAAGCACTTGCTCATTTGAATAGTCTCGACAATGTATCTAAAATTGACTTCTTTCACCACATCAAAGACTTCGAAGAAGGGTTCCGGAGTTTAGCGGTATCTTGGTTTTAAAAGTCGAATGGCGACCAGTTGCGACTGGAGGATGACACTCGCCACTCGCCACGACGTTTCATGGCGATCGCATCACGTATAAGCTGTTCAAAAGGTACTTTCTATTCCTAATAACATCGATTATATGAAATTTTTGACAAAGACATAGTAGATAGAAAACCAAAAACACAGTTTTATTGATAACTTAAATTTCATAAAGCCAAAACACCAAAATGAAAAGCATAAAACCAAAATCAAAACATAATTCAAAGTAAAGAAAAACAATTCAAAGCAAAACACAGAACACCAACACTCTAAAACTCAGTTTCAGAGTCATCCGGAAACTCCCATTCCTCATCTTGACCGAAACCACCTGCTTCTAGTTCCAAATCAATTTCCGGTTCATCCTCATCACTATCAACAAGAGATCGAACAGAGGGACCTGGACCATATCGTTTCTCTCTCTTTTGAGTTGAAGGAGATGCTATCCCTTTTTCCTTCTCAGCAGCTGAGGCTTTTGTTCCTCTAGTAGAATAGGTAGGTTCCTCAGCTCCTGTGGCTTCACTCACAGCACTCCATGTCAGATCTTCATTCTCGAAGACATGATCATCAAGTTCATCATTGTCAGAGTTCCCATCCATTCGTCCCATCAACCATTCATTGCTTTCATCAATTTCCTCTAGGATAATAGGATCAGTGGTGTCACTTCTCTTCATGCGACGCTGCAAGGCTCTGTTGTACTTGACAAAGACCATGTCATTCAAACGATGTTGAGCCAAACGGTTCCTTCTCTTTGTGTGAAGCTATAATAAATTGGATCAAGAAACCATTAGTGAGCTTAAGTTTAAATCTGACTATCATATAATATGAACATAAAAAGACTTACAAGCTCAAAAACACCCCAGTTTCTTTCACATCCAGATGCACTGCATGTTAAGCTAAGTACTTTCACAGCAAAGTCTCTTAGATTAGGAGCTGATGATCCATAAGTAGACCACCAATCAGCTAAAAAAAATACACTAGATTAATTTAGAAGTAAAGTTGGCTAAACAAAATAAAACGTATGAGTCACTACAAAAAAAATCAACATTGATAGCACATTGTTATAGCACGTTTTACTGAACTGCTATCATAGATGATTTAGAAATTTCAGTATTATATGATAGCATTAAATAAACGCTATGAAATAGAAAAACCTAAAATAGCACTTAATTAATGCTATTTTAAGAATTACGTGAGCGGGAAAATAAAATCACCAGTTTTCACCAATACTTAGCGGGAATTTAGATATAAGCGCCAAAAATATTATTTAAGCGGCTTAATAAAATTATGAAAGACTTATAATAGCATTTATATAATGCCAAGGAAAGCTATTTAACCCCTAAACATGATTTTAAACCCTAAACTTTAAACACAACCCTTAAAACTCCAATCTTTTCTTATTATAACTTCATATCTTAAAATTACACTTAAATTTAATCTTTTTAATTTTAAACTATAATTTCCTAAACACATATTCTTAATTTTTAATCAATCTCTATATCCTAAATCATTACTTCAAATATAAACTATACATTCTGTGTAACATACAAGTACAAAATTTTAAACCCAAAACCCTAAAAAACTCTTTATTTTTCAAAATTTAACTTTAAAAACTTAAATTATAATGTCAAAATTTAACTTTAGAACATAAATCTAAACTCCAAACCATAAACTCTAAACCTAAACCCTATACAGCAAATCATAAACTACACATCAAACTCTTTATCATAAATCCTAACCTCATATTCCAACATCTAAACCCTATTTCTCAAACTCCAAACAACATATTCCAAATTAAACGTCAATCTTAAAGTCAAAATGATTAAACCTCAAACTTTTTAAAAATGTTGTAATTATTATTAAACACTTTAATTTAGACTAAACTTCAAACTTTATAATGACTTGTAATTTATAAATCTTTTTTTTTTACTTTAGTCCCATATTTTAAATCTATTTTTTTTTTAAAAAATTCAGCCTCAGATGCTAAATCCAAACCCCAAATAATAGACACTTCAATCCTTAAATTTAATTTTTACATTTTCTTAGAAATCTTAATCCTAAACACTAAGTTCATAATATATATTATCCAATATAATTCAAATCAAAAATATTAGTCCTTAAACTTTATACTTTTAATCATAAAACATATCAATTAACTAAAACTATAAATTAAGTTTTGATAAAATTTAATTAGAAAACATTATATAACACATAAAAAATATAACAAAAATAAAAATTGGTTGCATCATTTCTGTCCATTGGATTAGAGTCAATCTAGTGGACCAAGTCTCTTCCTTCTTATTTTTATCTTCTTGATTTTCATTGGTTAATTAAGTGTTGGTGAGGATAGCCAAGTTTTAACTACAACCGATGATACCATCTAATCCGACGGATAAGAATGTTTTGCTTTTTGTTTCTTGTTCTTCTCTTTCGGTCCTCTCCTCTCATCTTTCTATCTTTTAGAAAATCACAAGATCAACAAGAATCACACAGAGCTTGAGTCAAGTCAGATTCAACCCTCTAATCGGATTTGAGAAAAAAACTGAGATGGTGAGTGAGAGGTTCATGACGGAATCAAATCGATCAAAGATGGAAGGCAAGATATCATGGCGAAGTGATAACCGGTAACGGTTTTGTGATGAAGATATCATGGCGTTGACTACGCCACCACCTCCGCCGCATCGTCACCGCCAACCTTGTCTCCTCCATGTATCCAATAGAAACTGAAGTCTCCTTCTTCTGACCTTATATTTAGCTCCCGACTCTGGTCATTGTTGGCTTCACTTACTCACCACCACCACCACAGGTCAACCCACTTCGCCTTCCTCTTATCTATGCTCTCACGTTATCTTTATCTTCTTATATATTTGTAATTGGTTTTGGTTGTTTACAGATCTGAGATGGAGCAGTGATGAAACATAAAAGAGTAGTGGTGTGACAAAGATCTCAGGTTAAGCGTGGTGCGGTGGTGGTGAAAAGCTGGTGGTCTGTTGGTGGTTCGTGGATGGTGGCTGAAGCTTGACGGTGGCGATGGTGGCTGAAGCGTCTATTAGGTTTAGGTTTAGTTAATCAATTTGTTTAGTTAGGTTTAGATTAATTAATTGGTTTAGTTTAGATTGATTAATTGGTTTATTTATGTATTTGTGGTTTAGTTTTGTAAACTGTGATTTATTGTAAAATAATTTTTATTCATAAATAAAATTAATTTTATTTTTATGTATATATATAATTAATTTTATTTTTTAATTATAAAAAATTTCAATTTCAATTTAATTTTTAATTATAATTATTTTTGGTCTATCTTGGAAGCACCAATTATAATAGCACGAAAATAGTGCTAATAATCTATATTATAATGATACACTTTAAAGGCTCCTTAAAGTGTCCACATAGGCAGATTATGGGTCCCACATTTTTATATTAAAATAGATAGTTTATTTTTAAATGGCTACAAACAAAGAATATCAGTTTAGCCAAGTGGTCTAAGGCTCCATGTTTGATCTGCAAGGGCATGGGTTCAATTCCCACAGCTCTTATGCATAGATATTTTTTAAACACACATAGTCTTGGTAAGATGGTCACAAACAATGAAATACACTTTAGTCAAGTAGTATAAGGTGCCTAATTAAGTATGCAAGATTGTGGGTTCAAACCACGCAACTATCATGTATTTTTGATTTTTTTATTTAGGTTATTATCATATGGGCTTTTTGTTTATAAGGTTCTTATTTTTTTTTGGCTTGTTGTTTTAAAGATCAAAATAGTTGTATAAACTCTAAACCTTAACAAGTTCAAACCAAAAATAGTTAAAAATGAATCCAAAACGAACAATTAAAAACAAAAAGTCTCACGTGGTTGCCTACGCGGATGGCTTAAAGAACCTTAAAACTATCATATTATAATATAGCTCAACCCAAAAATAATAAAAAATAAATCCAAAAA